CGTAGAGCGTCTGCACGCGAGGGGAGGTGCGATGAGCATTGGCGGGGGAGGGGCGTGTGCCGAGGGGGGCGTCTCGCGCCTTCAAGCTCGGGGCGGCCCCCTCCTTGAGGGCGGCTGCCAGCGCCTTGCAGCCCTCGTCGCCAATCTTGTTGCTGTGGAGATAGAGATACTCGAGCCGCGGCGCTGCCCCCTCCTTGCCGAGGGCGGCGGCCAGCGCCTTGGAGCCCTCGTCGCCAATCTTGTTGCCGTTGAGAGCGAGGTACTCGAGCCGCGGCGCTGCCCCCTCCTTGCCGAGGGCGGCGGCCAGCGCCTTGGAGCCCTCGTCGCCAATCTTGTTGCCGTTGAGAGTGAGGTACTCGAGCCGCGGCGCTGCCCCCTCCTTGAGGGCGGCGGCCAGCGCCTTCCAGCCCTCGTCGCCAATGTTGTTGCCGTGGAGAACGAGCGTCTCGAGCCGCGGCGCTGCCCCGCTCGCGAGGACCTCCGCCAGCTGCGCCGCCTCCGCGTCGCCCCAGCCGAGGTCGGCGTAGAGCAGCTCGGTCGCCTTGCCAAACTGCTCCTCGAAGGCGGCCTCGTACAGCCGCTCCACGAGCGGCTTGTCGTCCTTGCCGTTGGTGAAGCTCTTCTTCTCCAGCTCCGCCGCGAACGCAGACGGCAGCAGCGGAGGGCGCCGGCCGCCCTCCTGGACGCAGTCGTCGATGAGGCTGTTGCAGTCGTACTCCTTGCCGCCGCGCATCTTGCCGAGGTCGAGCGAGAGGTGGCCAGCCTTTGTCAGGCTGGCCCAGCTCTGCTCCGTGAAGCACCAGCCGCGGTCAAAGTACTTGGCCACGTTGGTGCCCTCGGCCTGGTCCTCCGCCTTGTGGCCGTCCGGGAAGGAGGTCAGCCGCAGCACCCAAGTGTGCTGGTGGGAGTAGAGCGTGCCGAGGCAGCCCAGCCCCTGCTTGAAGAGCGCGTTCTGCTCCTCGGTGCGCACGACGCCGTTGGCGGGGTCGGGGTGCTGGTGCAGCGAGCCGAAGTCCCAAAAGACGCCGAGCCGCGGGATGTCGGGATCGCTGAGCAGGGCCTTGAGCGCCCTTGCGACGCGGGCGAGGTTGGCTCCGCGCGGGTCGGGGTGGTCCTTGGTCAGCCACGGGTAGGAGAGCGCTCCGACGGGAAGCCAGGGAAGGTCACACTCGCCGGTCGCCTCGACGAGGTCGGCGAGGGAGAGGAAGGCCTCCTTGGGCAGCGCCTGGCGGTGGGTGAGGACGCCGCCCGCCTCGGCGTGGCTGATGATCCACTGCGCGTCGAGGAGGGCGACGGCGCCGCTCGCGAGGACCGGCTCGAGGTCGCCGCCGCCGCGCTCGCGCCACAGCTCCAGCTTCGTCTCGCTCACGCCGAGATCGGTGGCGGAGGGGAGGGCGGCGGCCAGGCCCGGCTTGCTATAGCAGAGCTTTACGGTGACCGCAATTAA